CAAACAATTTCCGACGTTCTATAATTTGTATTATCATCTCTAGCATGACATACGAGTGCAAAGGGTTAACCATTTGTACTCGAAAGTTTTTCACTGGAAATGTTCAAGATTTTCCCATGAGATATAGACGACATTCTTTGAAATTTACTAATGAGGGAACATACGTAAATTAAGAAACAAAGCTATTTTATTTCGATATTTTACATATTGCATTATACGAAGTTTAATATTATGTATAAGACTTTATAAGTTTGCTATGTCGAATCAAGTTGTGACTGAGTCAGCTTTCGAGTGCTAAGGGTTGCTTTTGTGGTTCTACGTCGAGGCAGACTGAATATTTAAGTTTGTTCCAATAATTAGGTATTTCGTCACTTTTTGCTATAGTTATTCGCAATATAGTAATCATCTTATACGTATATTTTAGTCCTTTTTAAAGACTTGTAACCAAGTGAACTGCTATTTGGAACTATAAGTCAAGCAATAGTAATGCAGATTACAGAATGGAAAATCGAAAACACTTTGGACCACAAAGGGTGAACACGTTGATTGTTACAGTGGTTGCTCGACATTTTTTAATTCCTTAAAAATAATTACAATACGTAAGATGGTTAGTTTCGAATAAGACTATTTAGTAACGTAAGTAACTAGATAATATTGTAACAAAGAATCGTGATACCAAATAATTAATAATTATTTCTGTTTATCTTTGCTATGAGAGAATAAGTCATACGTAAAACGCGGAAGATTCTCGTAGCAGCCAACGTGTTACAAGTGTATTTATTTTTAAAACTTCTAGTTGATAAAGCAATTGAGACACTACCCGCAAAATTAAATCTCAAACACGAAGGTACCAACATTATTGCATTATTAATCAAAAGTTTTAGTAACAAAAACGCTCTTTAAATGTTTAAAATGAAAATCTGACATACTGTTTGACATCTGAGTCCTCCATTTCATTGTACACGTGTGAAGTTTGAATTGGTAGCAAACTCGATTTGCCAAGAAGAAATATAAATTATTGAACACGAGCAACTGCTGATGTGTGTTTAATGCATATTTAATGAGTTCGGAAAATATGAGTTATTTCTTTGAATGATTAATCGAAACTATCCTCAAGTGAGACTCAGCTATACCTTAAAACCTAGACAATTTTTCGGAGTTAACACTTTTGACGCATAACGTCAGATCTTCCGTTATGTCCGTGGTACACGGATGTTAGCTACGCTGTTACCTCACCGGATGACGTTGCCATATTCGCAATGGGTGCAAAAGGTCAAAAAAATTCCTGGAATTCGTTTATTGGACGACAACGAGTTTGTTTCCCTCGAAATAGTTTCCACAACGACGCGGGAGATGAGTCACGCAATTGGGACAGGTTGCAATCGTCTGCGTCGTTGGAGGTAGAGATAAGTTCTAGATAAGAACCGTATGAGAGAGGATTACACGGATTTGAAATCAGAAAACACGATTATGCTTTGTGTTTATAAAGTACTAAATAATGTAACCCTCTATCGCACGAACTTGTTATGAGAAATTACAAAAATATATGCCCGTTATTCTATTTAAATATTGGTATAGCGATAAAATAAAAAAGAACATATTAATAAACAATGTTGTTTATTGCATTTTATGAATATTCCAATATGGGAATTTCATACATGTGCAAATACAAAATAAAAAAAAGAATATTTATTCTGCGTGGGTTTGAACATTTGAAATTCAGTTCTCAATTGGAATGCAATAGAGGACTGATAAATAATTGGAGCACACAATTGACTTTCCTCAATAGTAGTAGTAACTTTTTTACTAATAATTATCTTCTCTGCATTATGTATGGTAGTGTTCCTATTATCCTTTTGTACTAATAATCATTTCTTATCGGTATTCCCTCCATTATTCCGTAATAAAATTAAAAATGTACTGCAGCAAGATAATAGTTTAAGTAAGGTAATATTGGCATATGCACGGCCGCTCACGTTGATGTACGTCATCTATAATCCTATTTGCCGCTGACGCGAGCTATATTCAACGATAGTCAATTGCAAGCCGAATATCTCAAACCAAATTTTTTAATTTTTGTATTTGTTTTATCGATGAACTTCAGAGTTCATTTATTTAGCTAGTTTTCGATTAGAGAAAAATGAACCTACTAATTGCGAATGTATTAATACAGCAACATGTGTTGACAATAAAATGGAAGTGAAAGCTGGGAAATTGTAAGATGAAAACTCCTGTTGCGAAGATGGTTTATTTGAAAACACTTCTATCGTGCGGCTCGGAAAATGTAACAGTGAATCCAAGCGAGAAACGAAAATATGCTTGAAACCAATTTTCAACGGTATTATTCTTCTTAGTAGTTGCGAAACGTCCGATTCAAAGAAATTACGCTCGTATTTGGAGTGCACCTGTGGAACGAATAAAGGCGGAGGAGGGTTTATCCTCGGAAGGATATGCGTCAGTCGCGAAATTCCGCGGATATTTCGCAATCGGGATCAAGTGTTTTCACGTCGAACATTCGGTGACTACTTTGCAGAGTCATCGAGACAATCAGATTCGAGGCTTGATTGCGAATGGAACGAATCGCGATCGCCTCTGCGTGACTAATGACGCCGTCGAACAAAGTACTACTCTGTACATCTTGAATCACGTTATATAAAATATACTGGAGAAGAGTTTTCTTCGATCTATAATTTCTTTCTCAATTATGATCGATTAACACGTTCGTTATCAGCGTCACATATTTATGACGATCATAATCCTATATTTTACATAATGAAAATTAAATTTATCCTATAGATTTTATTATTAGGAATGACAAACAACGACATTATATTTAGGAACTCAATGACTCGTTTCAGTTTCATTTTTCTAATACTTTTTTGGAATATTTATTGGATTGAAGAAAATATAATTGAGGAGACCGTCACCGAAATAAGCGCTGGTAGCGAACGTGTCAATGCACATTACACTTTCCGACAAAGCATCTTCCATAATTCCACGAATTATGAAATAAAACTTTTCCAACGAGTCATTTTGATCCGTCTGGTAGTTCCAGTGGCACCCTTTACTCTAGGATTCATTTCTCTTAACTATAACTGATCCAACTACTTTGTCACTAATAATTTATTGAGAAAACGAGGAAAAATCTAGACATATTTTGTGTCTCCGTTTGTTAAAGGGTGGAGTAATTAATAACAGAAAAATAATATTTCATTCTAATTCAGAAGAATTTAGTAATATTTATGTTTGATATTATAAGGCACACACAAGAAGTTAATATTATCTGTATCGTATACACACTATACTTATTAACACTAGGTTTATGGGCATTTATAGTACATTTCTTTCTATTATTCCTAAAAGAATTGATACTCGTTTATTTAGATTGCGAAAACTGGAGATCTGATAGTAGGTAATTGGGGTACATGTCAGTGTAATCGCATCAATCAAAATCGGCGTAAACATTTACAAAATAATATTTCTAAAATCCAATATGCGTCAATTTGACGCGTTCCGTAAACCTAGTGTTAAAAAAAATTGTTAATTTGGAACTCGGTAAATGTATTCATCAGGTGCTAGCTGAAAAAGCAATGACGATTGTATAATTCGTCTCGTATGAACATTGATCAACATGACATTAAGTTCGTTGAACGCGTCACTGAATGTATAACGAACACTGACGTAAAGATAGTAACATAATGGAATTTTAAAATGAATTAAATATACTTTTGTTCAATAGATACAATAGTAACTGTATCATCCGTACTGTTAGCGTAACAGGCATTTTAGTAATATGTATAATAATAGTGTATTAATAGCAGATCCACGCAAACAGTATGGCAATAGTATATTGAGCGAATGCTAATATACTTGGTATATGACAAGTACAAATATAAAGTACTAATAAATTAAATTATTATTGTGAACAAACAATAAAGGGGTTCTAATTTATTTAAAATTGTTCCTGACTCGTTAGCATTAAATATATTATCTTAATAAAAGTATCGATAATATACATTATATTATAATAATACAATATAAAGTAACGACACGATAAATGATCTCAAACGGAAACGATCGCTCTAGCGTTGCAAACACGTTCGCTTTCTACTCACAAAATTAATTCCGTATAATATTTCAGAAGTGTGACAAACGTAGCGGTACACGAATTCTCTCGTGTCCCTTATTTCATCATCTTCCGTTTTGTTATACCGCTGGTTTCGTCCAGTAAATTTCTGTGCCGTGAAAGTGAATTTCTCGGAAACGCGATGACTACGTGACGATTTGAACGAACCACGGATATATTGCTCCCACATTCGTCATGCGTAATTCAGTTTACATCAGAAATTGATTACAATTTTATGCTGCTTTAATACAAGTACAAATCAGCCGATAACTAAATTCACATTAAATTTATTTAATTTCAATATATAACTTATATTATTAAATTGAACGACTACTCAATTTAAATTCAACGTTCAACAGGTACAACGTATTAAATGCATGAAAATAAATATTGCGAAAATGTGATTCACATTTCATAAAAGAAATTTTCGTTCTATGCACATTATTAAATTCATGTACACATTACTTTTGAAATCAATATCAATCAAAACGACGGAAAATTGTCGGTTACTCGCAACATGAGAATACTTCACATTTAAATACAATTTTCCCGCTTAAAACTGAGCGAGAGATAGCGGGTTATTTCCATTGTTTTCCATAGGAAAGTTTTCATTTTGATGCGCACTATGAACCTTAGAAACGCAGACGGACAAACGTATGGCATTGTCACGAATGTATTCGATCGAAATATATTCCCATCTATTCATCAATTATTCCCGAGAATATATTCACATGTAAACGACACCAGTGAAAAGACAGAATTTACAGAGCACGAATCACGTCATTATTAGACGTTGAACTGTCAACGCGAATAGTTGGCGCCGTAACACCGCAGTAATTAGACGTTCCACCGAAACACGTAAACATGGGCGTACCTTGTTTAATTGTGGATTCTTCAGATGATCCATGCCGCGAATCATACCGGCACACAGGGCATCCCCGTTTCCTCTAGTGCCAAGCTGATCCCTCTCGAGACTTGACATGGTCGAAGGTTTGCTGTTGCAGACTAACTGACTACTGCCTTGGATCCTGCGAACGACGAGTAAGGTTTAAGGCTGACGAGGAAGAATGTCGGTATGGCAGAACACAGTGGTGTCGAGCAAAGGTGAGGTTAGGGTGTGGGGAGCGTGACCTTCTGTCACGTATCGTATGAACCGACGTCGAACTTTGTCGCTTCTTTTTTTTTCTTTGGTGAAACTCGAACGACAATTCCAATCGCCGAGACTGTTTAACGATTGATAAACGTTCACGAGTAATAAAAAAAACGTTTGATGAAACAGTCCATTGTTCGGGTAAGTGATCGGACAATACGAGGATGTTTTCACGATCACGCATGGTCGATAATTCAAACATATTTACCGTGTCGAGAATTGTTTGTTTTTTATTTAAATTTTCCACGGAAATAATGACCATCAAAGACGTAGGTGCGCAAGGTCTGTACTACACTACTGTCTATAACACAGTGTAAGCGTAATCATCGCGCAGTCGCGTGTCTTCGCCCATCGCGTGAGGATCGGTCGATTTGTACACGTATATATCGTTTGACCGTGAATGAATAATCTATATAACAGATAATTACGGATCTTACTAGTATAAGAACTAGCTTGCATTTAGTAGGCAATGCTACTGTTTTCTAGAACGATCAGTAAGCATTATTTCAGCTGATTCGGATGATAATAATGGTTAGGTCAACTGATCCTTACAAGACAATTATTTTTCTTTATTACAGGAGTTTTTATGTTACCAGTTTAACACGTTCGGCGCTTTTTCCATATATGGCGTTTTACATTAGCTGTGTATCACCAGTGGTACATGCCGGTGAGAACGTGTTAAAGAGAAAATTGTAGGTCTAGGGATTTTAAAAAGCGCATTAATTCAGTGCATTTATTTTATTTCGTCTCATTTGATAAAGCAGAATACGCGGCAAATTGAGTTGAATTCAATTTAATTTGTTACGTTGGAAAGAATGGGAATAAACCGAAATCAATGGAAAGCGTAATCTTATGCAATATAATAGTTACTATTGCGCGTTCGATGGTAGTCCCTAAGTGTCTGTAGAGTTTCATGCGTTCGAACAATTTACGAACTGTTGAAAAATTATTCTAGATGATAATATAAGCTTTCATTTTTTGCTGTATCGCTGGTAAAACGTAAAATCTCAAAGTCCACCGGTTTACCTGTCGTGTAGCTGATCATGCGGGCAGGTGTCAGGTTCAAGGTCTTTCGTAGCGCTATGCGAGTGACTCGACTGACGGAGTAATGAAACGAATCGGTGCTCGAACCGTTTTAAAATATGCCTGACGGCCATGTTCGCGATTTTCGTGAACGACGCCTCTCGTTCGATATGGCATCGCTCGATAAACTGTTGAGACCATTCTGAACTGAGTTTAACAACACCAGATTACTGCGTCGCGTCATACCGATAAGTCACTAGGCACGTGTCCACGTGATACCAGGCGTGCAACACTAAATTAACTCTCACCACCAACTTTTATTTTGAATACGCACGAGATTTCTCACGTATTTTCACTAGCACTCGTATATTTAACCCTTTGCACTCGACTGGCGACTACTGGTCGCCATTTGATTGAACACAATAAAATTGTGAAATTGAAAATTCAATATTAACACTAGAATTACCGTACCAGTCAAAACGACTGATTTCGATCTTTTCGTTCCGCAGTTGTTGATACCTCAGAAGCACAGAATATTCGAAATGATTTTGAAAATAAATAGTTTCACTTGAACACTATAACGAATGTCTAAAGGAACCGGAAATAATCTATTGTTACAATTTTTATAGGGATTACATATCAGTCGTATTAAATGTTCGGTAGTTCTAGTGTTAAATTTTATGTAAGGTATCAACACGTAAAACCTAAGAATAAAATAGATCTGTCTCTTAATTCATGCAAGATTTTTCTTTACGGCAAATAATGTTATCGATGAGTTAAATAAATTTTATCAGGAAATAACGAATATTTATAATATCAAATATTATCGAGTGCAAAGGGTTAAGTTGATTAAGTTAAATGTACCTTGCATATAAACAGTATCACGAATTTTTTTCTAACGAAACAAACCATCTAGGTATGGAATCTATTTGACGATTACGTTAGTTCCAAAGAAACCCAATGGTGTCACATGAGGATCACAGCAGCGAGAAAATGATACAAATGTTTCTGAATATGTTTTATTTAATCCTGAATAAAATTCCTTATAACATTTATGTATTTACGAATTGCATAATGTAAATTTGATTAGTATTAATGTCGTGTATTGAGATCGAATATTCATTTTTTACTTTCGTATTACTTTTCATGCTTCGATCTCCACACGAGACGACTATGATTACAGTTATTGCAAAAAAAAAAGTGATAATGTAATCGTAGGAGTTTTTTAATGCCTGTTACAACCGATTCAACGACATTTAAAATTTTTACTCTTTGCGCATGTCGTACGATGGTACACGAAGATCACAGGTCAGTAACCTGTTACCGTATGATCTGTGATTAGAATAATTATGACAATGTCACAAAATTTTATCTGAGCAAACGAATCTGATAAACATTGCAAAATCCTGCAAGGCATGATTACTATAAATGCTTGTACTATGATCTATACAATTACAATAAATATTTAACTTAAAGCGTATAATGTTAGAATAATCGAGTCACTCGTAAAAACCATCAATATGCGCACAAATCATACCATTAATAATCGTCACGCAATAATAACCTGCAAATGGAAAATATTCCACGGTATTTAATACACTATATTGTGTGCTACAAATTACAGTGATAGGTGAAGATACTAATTTTCGTAAATTAAAATCGATGTATTCAAAAAAAATATTATGGAAAGTTTAACGTAATTTCGTATTTTTAAGAGACAAAAGGGTAATATAATTTCAACGATACTGTTGAAATAAAATATACATAAACATATAGCAAATACTTCAATTCTAATTATTAAAGTTTTGCAAAATGTTAACGTCCTTCGTTTGGAAAGAGAGAATATTGATGTTCCTAATGTATAATGTAAAATATTAATTTCAAGTGCAAGACAATAGAAATATGGAACACTAGAATACTTCCATTGTTTCGAATAACTTTCCAAAAATTAGATGGTTAATATAAATAATTGCGCTAATAAAAGTACGAATAATTATGAATGTATTTCTAAAAAAGTCTGTGTTTATGAACCATTGAAAATTAGTTTTGTAATACTCCATTTTGTAAACGCCATATTGATTATTCGAATATATACGCGCCACGAGCATTGGTTCCCGCTGGATCGTATTAGTACGAACAAAGTATAAACAACTTTCTTTTTGCTAACACTATCCGAAAGACACGACTTATCGGTAAAGTGGAGCGTGACATTAAAATCGTGAAGGAATGGTGAACTTACTTGAATGAGAAAGGATTTAACACTATTTCTACCGAAGTTGTCAAAAGACACCTCCAGAATCTTTAAATTAAAATTATTTTCCGAGTCGTATATTCTTAATTAACTTTCCGACTTTTTCAGTAACAATTATAAGATTAACAAATTGCATACTGTTAAAGACACTCAGCTATGTAATTTTGCTAATTACCACAGCATTAAAGAAAACATGAAATTTGATTAGAACTGATTATTTATTTAAAATATGTTGTATAACAATGTGATACTTGAGTTTTTCTATATATAGTGATATAAGTTGATCTCACTGAAAGTCGTCATACGCACAATTCAGTTTTCTGAAAATTAGTACGCAATGTCTTAATTACAAGAAATGTCCAAAATTCAATTGAGGACAAATTATTAAACTGAGAAAATAATTTTAAGTTAAAATTTCAAAAGGCGTCTTTGGACACCTTCGGTAGAAATAGTGTTAAATACACATAACGTTTCAATAATTTTCATTCGAATTTCAAAAACAAATTTTCAAGTGAATTCCTAAATAAAGTGTAAAACTTATCTTAAATATCAATTTTATTAAAACGGTTCTATTGGATTATTTAAAGCGACTTGTCTAACGATACATTGTTCTTGAACATATTGTCAAAGTTTTTTTCCACTTTCAACGAATTATCCTTTAACTCAACTAAAAATCAGAATTCCTTTACTCAAGTATTTAATTTTTATCTGTCCTCTAAAATACTCTCTCGAGCATTAGGTGAATGACTGCGACGATAATGAGTTCTGGGAATATCTCAATAACAATTCCACCATCATTTGATGTTATTATGAAAACAAAGTGCAGCGGCTGGTAGTATCTCTGTTGTGTCTGAGACAGGTCAAACAAGAAAAACCTTCGATTTATCACTGTCTTCGTAGATCAATTGTGTGCGAGAAAAGAACGTTGCAATCGCGTGTGGGAAGATAAGCGCAACAAATAAATGATACAACTTCACAGAATTTGCACAAAGTAATGTGTATTACTTTCACCGTTGCCTAATGGTTACATTGTCGTTCTCGCGGAAATAATGGAAAAATTCACAGAAAAAATTAAACGTACATTCGTCGATGATCCTAATGTACCTATAATTCTCAAACAAAGTTTGAAGCATCAAGGTGCACGTTACAAATTTATAATTTTGCCACTTACACCTTGTAAGAACGTTGTCCGTTACGTATATCCTTTGAATGTGGGCTACCCATTGGAAATGTTTACGAGTTAATCTGTAAATTCAACGATAAAACTTAACGAGACTAATTGTTCATACTTCGACGAAGGGTCTAAGTTTGAGTCGGAGATAATATATGCACTGTGTCGCGCGGAAAAAGAAACAATAACGATCTCTTGCTGAACTATACTTTTGTTCAATGAAATCGATCGTTCCGATCACGAGCAGATCGCAAACGTGACTGAGGTGTACACGAACAAACCAGAGAATGCGTACCCCTACCAGTTTATTGAAACTTCGTCGACGTAGAAATCGGCCTTAGGGCCGACGTTTTTGGGGCAGAAAGCGATTTAGATCTCAAGGAAAGTCATATAATTGTGCAACATGGCAGACCCGCTATGAAAACAACGTTATGATTCAGCTCAGCAAATAAGAGCTGCTTTTTTGTTCATACTTCCATTTGGGAGAGCACGAAATCGCATTTCTATACAAAGAAGGAATGTTTCGCATTTAGATGTATGTATTCTTATGACAACGAGAGATCATGGGTAATAATTTCATTTGCGCTATGGATTTATATAATTCACAGACTCGCAGAGATACATTTTTTACTCGTGTCTCATGAAATTCTGATTCTTTGATACGTCCACTGCTAACGTTGCATATTTGTGACGGCTGCAATCCTATACTTTACATAAAGGAAACGAAATTAATGCTATAAGTATTGTCATTTAAAGTTTGAATACATGACATTATATTTGGGAAACAGCTTTATCTAGTTTCAATTTTTCGATGTTTTATTCAGAAGATTTGTTGGATTTAGTAGAATATTGCAACTGAAAAGATCGTCGTTGAAACAGATAGTAGCGAACGTCTTAATAGTCATAGACTTTTAGATTGTAAGTGAATCTAAATGTAAGAATTAGATAATTTTGTCTGGTTTCTTTTCATCTTTCACAGTAAAATCACATGATAAACAAATTTATGTAAGAATTTGGTAGATAGTTTTATTATGCTCTACAAAAGCTTGTCAACCCTCGTTGATATAATGGATAACAGTTTTTAAACCGAAAATACAGATTTTGAATAAAATCATTAGACGTTTCTTAGATTATAAGGAATCAAGGCATTGTCATTATAACAACCGCGTAGTAACCGTCACAGTTCCGTCAAAGTATCAATACAGAACACATGATCGTTAAAATAAAATTTGTTGAATGTAATTTTTAAAAGATTGACAGTTGTAGAATAGCAAAATTCTTCTGTTAATACAATAGTTCAATGAATTTCTGCGGCATGTGCAGACATTGCTCTTTGGCGTCAAGCGGTGCGGTTATCAAACATAACTGTAGATTTTTCAAACACGTTGTATATATCAGTGCTATCAATGTTTACACCGAAAAAGTTAATAAGTAATAAATATTAGATTTACCGGACAGTTCTGTCCGTTAGTGTCATCTCAAGTTTTGAAAGATGAGTCATTCTACAGAAATGGAATCCACAAATTACTATCACATTGGGAAGAGGTCATTAGTAACGATTGAAATTATATTGTTCAGTAAATATTAATAAGTGTATTGAAAATGTACTATTTGTTTTTAATTCGAAAACGGACACAACTTTCCACAATTGATAGTGCACCTGATATATTAAAGTCATGACATTAGATTGCATGATTGAATTGTAACACGAATGTGTACTCACTTTTTGCTAGAATTTACGGAAGTGTCCACCATATTCGCGTATTTTGGGCATCCTGACCTATCAAAATGTTGATCGGTTAAATTTCATATCGTTCCAACGTAATTAATTTACTTACTTAATGCATTCCATCATCTTGTACCTCCAGATGACACGAAAACGACAAAAATATGACATGGGCCATTGACAATGATTACTTTTTGTTTTCTGATCATATACGACGATTTTCACGTAAGTGAAATTTATTATATGAAAAGTAATATTATATATTCCTCCGATTTCATTAATTCTAATTACATTTTCTAATAAAAGTTCTGACTGAAATAAATTTCACTGAGAAGATAATAAGTGCAATATTTATGTCAAGCATCGATAGATTAAAATATACTGCTAATTCTTTTTTACTTGAACTTTTTAAGAATTGTATTTAAAAGAATACACAACATTGTTTGATTATAGTATCTCTTATAGTTTGTATAATTTCTGGTCTTTAATGAACATTCACAGAATGAAATAAAATAAAGATTCATTGGGCTTGTTCATCATTTAGAATTGGTTAAGTAAGTGCTGGTGTGTGCAGTATGTCGGCATGCCGCCAAGACTTTATTTTAGGAAATTAGAAGCTTAGAAGATTGGTGTAGAACAAGACAACTGTTTAAAGAGAATAATATTATATTTTATTTCAAAAAACAGGGACACGTGTTGAAGCATATACGATGATAGCAATATTACTTGACTGCCATTTTGGTTCTCTCGTCACCTCGTTACATCGTGTTCTTAAATGATGTGTTATTGGAAGCTCATTGTAATGCACTCTATAGACAATGATCTTATTAACGTCATAATGCCTGCGAAAGTAAGCCACGCTGAATGTTCACTTTCACCTCTATGTCGATAATTGCTCATTAACCGCGCAATGAGCCCGCATAGTGAAAGTTGAAACTGGTTACAAAACATACCGCTCGCATTTTGGTTTCGTTAATACTTCACTTACGCTTCTTTTAATGGCTCTGACGTTTCCTTCCAACAAAGTTGCACCGGAATCATTGTGTAGAAATACCAGTGTTACCCAAGCTACTAAAAAATAAAAGGGACAAGGACTCTGATAAAAGTTAAAAATTTAATTGTCTTTCGAACAGCTAGCATCAGTATACAAAACGATCATGTGATCCTGAAGTTATCGAACTGATGATCTACATTTTGATAACCAACATTTCGAAAAATTATAATCTACGATTCAATGTAATCCTTTGAGTCGCTTATCTGGTTATTCAATATCAAATTTAACGATTAGAACAGATATTATTTCATGATAAGTTGGGAATAATTAAATATTTGCATATCACAGCACATCCTTTTAATCGGATTTGCTTGGAAACCAACGATACACGCAGAATTTTTCCACTTATACGCAACTTGAATCTATTATATGGTTTTATAAGTATTTTTTAACGGTTAAGTAGAGGAACATCGATCAAACAGTTCATAGTTCAAGGCAGTGCGAAAAAACAAGCCGTAATGTTATTACGATAATGCAATGTTAAACGATTCTATTGATTGCATTTATCAAGTGGTTCTTGTGTTCCCTGAAATGTATCCCTATTATCAATTCATATTAAAGAACTTGATTTTAAAACTTAATCTAAAGCCGATTGCTAATTATAATGGCTTTTTCGTATATTTAGTTTTAATAATATTATTATAATTTTTAAACAATTTGAAAATAGCGTATATGATATATGATCATCTTATGAACTATTATTTATTACGTAAATGGTTATAAATGAAATATACTGGAAATAGGTTGATCCATTAAAATTACATAAGAAATGTAAAATAAATTAAAAGGGTTATCTTTAAGAAGATGCACCGATAATGTCAGTACGACTGATAACGAAGTATAATTGCATCTATAATATCGATCCAGCTCTTTTACTAGTGTATCTGTAAACATTAACAATGTTATTTAACCTTTATAAATGTAATAAACTATGAATATCAAAATAATATCAACTAAATCATTGTTTAATTTATACGAAAATAAATTGTTAATTTCATAGCATTATTTTGATTCATAATAAACTAAAGAGTATAAAAAAATTCTTTAGTAATGTTAGCACATTCAAACTATCTAAATCAAAATTGTGCATTAATAACTGTTCATTGTATTGTTTTCAATTACGTTTTAATTACAAAACCTTTTTATGCAAATAATGCAAATTTATTGTGGTGCCATCTGCAATGAAACGCTCAAGCTATTAACAGAATCACACGGATTTAAGACTTCACCTACCGATGATTAATTGTCGTATTACCATCGACACAAATTTAATCTTAAGTCAGTGCCACCGACGAGAAATAAGATAGATTTCGTGTACGGTAGTTTGGAATACAATAGAACCTCCAATAGCGCGATTAAAAAATGATTGACAATTAACTGTGAGAAGGATACAGATTGTACATAGTATAGTTAATGTGTTACCATAGTGGCTATTATGCCAATTATAATTTAGTTTATAGGAACTGTTTAAAATCATGTCTGGTTTTAACGTTGGACTTTATCCGTTTGAGTACCAGAAGGTTTTAAAAAAACACGGTCGAAGAAAACCGAACAGCGAAATAGTGCTTTTTGAATGGAATGCGAAAAGATCCAAGCAGCGCCATAGCGCTCCTTTTATTTCCTTTCGAGAAAAGCCAAGCAGCGTGACAGCGCTTGTCATAATCTGTATTAATACTATTATAAACATACATTAGTTTATAATAGGTAACAATGAAATACAAAATGTATTACTTGGATTACTTATATAGAAAAAAAGTAGTGATGCGACGTACATGTGTCTGAAAAGTTGTGCGCGTTTCGCCAGATTGTGAGTGCGCCGTCTGTTGTTCGCCGTATCGTTCAAATGCGCTGGTTTTTTTCGACATGAAATCTAAAGTTCGCGAAAGCGACGCGTGGACTCAAACGATTATTAACCCTTTGCACTCCGAAGTTTTTCGCTAGAAATATTTCAACATTTTCTGATGCGGTGAAGACGATATTTCGTAAAATCAACTCGACGAGAAATTCACGTGAATTGACGGACAAAGCTATTTTACGTCAATATTTCTTAGATTGATGCATTATATGAAGTATAATATTAAATATCAAACTTTATAGCTTCATTGTAGAAAATCAAGTGGTGACTGAGAGTCACCTACCGAGTGCAAAGGGTTGAAGTGAAGAATTGTTATTGGTAACGCGCATTCAATTTATAAAATTGACAACTCGACCAATGGGTAACGCTACAGTAGTAAATTCGGCGCCATCTAGTAGATACAATGTGGTACTATTTGGCTAGAAGTTTAAGCTTTCTCGCAATAAGTGGCGCCAACAATCCTGGAGAAGGAAAGACAAGGATAGACATATGGGAGAGAAAAGGACAGAGCTAGTTGATTAGGTGGCGTCACCTATTCCAAACAATGTGATACTATTTGGCTAGAAGTTTGAGTGATCTCGCAATATGTGGTGCTATCAATTCTGGATAAGGAAGTGGGATTTTTAAAAATAATTACTTTCATG